ACAAACCAGTGACCAGCACTGTTTGTTTGCTCTCAGACAGAGAATGAACCAGGTTTAGCAGCCCAGGGACAGCCTGTCCCCAGCTGGGGGACCCTGGGACCGGGACACAGGGGTCTGGGGCACTCTGGGACAGGGACACGCGGGGCTGGGGCTGAGGCAGGGCTAAACCGGGCTCAACCCCAGAGCCCCACAGAGCGCGACTCGGACTGAACCCAGCACAATACAGACCAGGGGGAAAGCTCCCTGTGGGAAAGCAGAGCCAGAGGAAAATCTCTGCAGGGCCAGGGGGTAAATCACCCTTTGGGAGAGCAGAGCCAGAGGGAAAATCATCCTTTGGGAAAGCAGAATCTCTGCAGGGCCACAGGGAAACTCACCCTTTGGGAGAGCAGAGCCAAACAGAAAATCACCATTTGGGAGAGCAGAGCCAAAGGAAAACCTCTACAGAGTCAGAGGGAAAATCACCCTTTGGGAGAACAAATCTTCAGCAAAACCTCTGCAGAGCCAGAGGGAAAGCTCCCTTTGGGAGAGTAGAACCCCCAAAAAGTCTCTGCAGAGCCAAAGGAAAGGCTCCCTTTGGGAGAGCAGAGCCCCCAGAAAACCTTGGCAAGCCACAGGAAAAATCACCCTTTGGGAGAGCAGAATCTCTGCAGAGCCAGAGGAAAGGCTCCTTTTAGGAGAGGAGCACAGCAAAGGCTCTGAGCCAACAGGGGGTGCAGGACAGGGGATGTGGGGCAGAGGGTGAGGGGCAGGGGTGCTCTGGCAGCCTGGGCTCTGTTTGGCCTCATCGGCACCACAAAGGTGCCAGGGCCGGGCATGGCGGCACCGGGGGCGGCCTCGGAAGGATGAGGCTTTGCCATTTCTGTTCTGAGAAATGCCCCGAGATGCCCCCTTCCTCCTCCTCCTCCTYCTCCCCGGCCTCGGGGGTGGCATTTCCCCTCCGAGCGGGCACCYGTTGAGTCACAAAACCCAGAGCACTGAAGCAGAGCTGGCACCTCTCGAGCTGCCCTCGCCCAGGGCGCTGGGCATGGGCTCCTGGTGCCCACAGAGGTGACACAGCCCCTGCAGGGGTGGGTGGGAAGCAGCAGGCTCTGATTCCTCCTTCCCCAGACCTGCTGCCACCAGCTCCTCACCAGGAGAAGGCYGTTTGTCCCAGGGACTGCCCAGGGACAGGGACAACTCGGACAGGTGGCACAGAGGGAGGGGCTGAGGTGCCCAGGGACAGGGACAAGGACAGCTCAGGGCAGATGGCACAGATGGAGGGACTGGAGGTGCCCAGGGACAGGCACAGCCCCAGCCTGGCAGCCTGGACAGCCCTCGAAAGCACAGCAATCCAGGCTGCAACTGCTGGGACATGGAATGTGGGTGTGGATGGGCACAGGGCATCTCCCAGCATTGCCAYCCAGCCTGGGCATTGATTCTAGCAGGAGAAGCCCCCCAGGCCGGGAGCAATCRGCTCAAAGGGTGAAATGTGCCAGGTTCGGTGAGCAGGAGCCCTCACCCTGCACCCAGAGCTGGGGGAGCTGGGCTGCTCAGAGCCTGGTGCTSACAACACCCAGGCTGGGCCTCAGTCCCTGCAGGGGCCCCTTGCTGAGGGGCTGGGCTGGCCCTGGGGGTCCCTTTCAGCCCTGAATATTCCGGGATTCTGGGAGGAGTTTCAGACATTCCAGGTCACTGCTCAGGGAGGAGCCCTGCAGCAGRTGCTGCTCCTTCCCCTGAGGTGTTCAGAGGGAGATGGAGCTTCTCTCCCCTCAAACTGAGCAGAGTCAGCACATGGGCAGCAGCTGGGACAGCTCAGGGACTGCTCCTACTCCAGATCAGGGACCATCCTGCTCCAGATCACCTGTGACCTTCACCCCTGCCCTCACCAGCATCCCTCAGCCCTCACCAGCATCCTTCAGCCCCTCTGATCCTGGAGGGAGACACACAACAACTCTATCCCATCCCTGGAACATTCCAGCAGGCACTGGGTGCCCTCAATCCCATCCCATCATATCCCATCCCATCATCCCATCCCATCCCATCCCATCCCATCCCATCCCATCCCATCCCATCCCTGGAACATTCCAGGCACTGGGTGCCCTCCAGCCCCTCCAGCAGCTCCCATCCTCCAGGATCCTGGGGTTCTTCTCTCACCTGTGACCCCACAGCATCCCATGGCATCCCAGCACCACCAGGGCCAAGCCCAGGGCTCTCCTTCACCAAAAACTCCTTTATTTTTTCCTGCTCACCAGCAAGAAATGCAGTATTTTTCATCCTTTACCACCCTCTAATTTGACCGTGGTCTCTCTCCTGCAGCACAAAGCAAGGCCAACCCCGAGGAGTTTMCTCCACCAGGAAAAGATTTTCCTCCAAGCACTTCTCTAACGGGGATTTTTGTGAGTCACAAACTCATTTTAATTTGGTTCCTCCAATAAATTCTTCAGAAAGCCTCATTTACAGCCCAGAGCTGGCCAGGGGCTCACACAGGGTGTCAATCTGGGGTGGCCAAACCCTCACAACTCCTCCTCAGTGACTTCACAGCCCTCAGCTGCTCATCCCTTACTCGGGGGAACGTGTTGGAAACCATTGCTCACCCTCTCTGCAGCAACCTCCTGTGAARTTATCATGGAAAAATAAAGCAATTGATAACTTAAAAATAAACGAAATTCAGCAAGGTCTCTGCCCAGAAAGCTKTGATGTGGTGTGTGTTATTTTGGTGCACCAACAGGGTAAAAAAGAGGGGAAAGCAAAGAAATCGGGAAACAGAAGTGAAAAATGAGGAAGGTGGCAGTTCCAGCCCAGCTGAGAGCAAGGATTCCCTGACTTGTGGGGATCAGCCCCGCCACAAACAACACAGGACAGGAATAAWGAAACTGTCACTTGTAACTTGGGGAAGGATGTGACAACACCCCTGCTCTGYCTCTGAAGGGCAGCAGGACCCAGCTCTGGGATGTGGGCACAGTGTTCTGCTTTCCCTGAACCCTCGGGGTCACCACAGTGACCAAACACTTCCCCTGGGGCTGCACGGGGCGGGCTGGGGAATAGCAGCTCCTCAGAGCAGCAGGGGAAAGGGGGACAGTCCCTCGGGGGGTCCTGGGGGTCCCCAGCAGCAGTACCTGGCCTGGGGCACAGCAAAGCCACCAACACCCAGCCAGAGCATGCTGGACATTCCTGGCAGTGGCACAAATCCTTTGAACGAAAGGGGAATTTTGGAGGTGCAGAAGGGCTGAGATTGTCCCAGGAGCAGCAGGTGCCAAGCCCCACAGGAGGCAGGGGAACTCACTGGGGTGGAACTCACTGGGACCCAGCAAAGCCCCCAGCCCCAACCCCTGCCCTGCACAGCCCAACCTTTGCTAACAAGCCAGGAAAGTGATGCAGTGGCTGTTTAAAGGCTTCCCCAGCCCAAAGAGAGCGCTGAGGGGCTGCGATTGGAGCTGTGAGTGACACGGGCACTGATTGAYGGTAATTACAGCAGAGGTGAGCTCTGGGCACAGTGACCTGCTTGGCCACRGYRGCTCCTCTGGCCACGCACTGTCACYGTGCCAGGCAYGAGGCYGYRCTGCCAGGAGCCAGGAATGTGGGTCACACTCAGGGCCCACTGCCCAGAGCAGGGCAGACACAAAGGACACGGAATCTCGGTCAGAGCTGCCCAGAGCAAGGCCCAGGTGATGTTAGAGCATCGCTCTGGTGGGAGCAGGGAATGAGCATGGCTGAGGGATTCACTCCTCGGGGATCCTGTSTGCATCTATTTGTTGACTGGCAGGTAGAAAGAAAAGCAGGAAGGGTTGGAAGAACTGCCCAGACGAAAAGGAATCAGAATCTGACGGCTCCCAGATCCTTCCATCCACAGGAGCGTTTGGCAGGGATTTAATCACAGCTCACAGACACGGCTACGAGGCAGAAATGTCAAATAATACATTCATGTATTATTTCTGCTTGTTGCTGCTGTGCCCTCCCCACATCAGCCCAAATCCCTTCACAGCCCTCTGAGCAGGGCTCACCCCTTGATGGCCACCACGGAATGTGAGATGTTGATAACGACATCTCTGTGCTGGAGGCTGACAACACAGAGATCACAGTTCAGGGCTGGCTGCAGCAAGGAGCCTTCGCTGGGGCTGCACAAAGCCTGCTCCTCTCCCTGCTCACCCAGGACAGCTGGCACCACGCATGGCTGCCCTGCTGACTCCTCACAGTCCATACCTGCACAACCTGTCCGTGTCTGGGGACATCTCCAAACCCCCAGGAGCTGACCTGGCTGGAGACTGCCTGTCACCCTGAACACCGGATGGGGAAAAGCCTCTGGGAGTGCCATCAGCTCCCTGTTACCCAGAGAGGGTCCTGGGTGGACACCCCAGGTGGGGTCCAGGCAGCTGAGCAGACCCCAGCACGGGTCCCAGGTCACCTACCGGCCCATTGGCTGGACACAGCATCCCGGCTGAGCCCGTGCAGACAGCGCTCCAGSGCGTGGTAGATCCTGTCCTCCGTGCACGTGGTGTGCTGCATTTTAACTCATCTCCTGCAGGGAAACAGGGACAGGGTTAGGGTGGAATACAGGAAATGGGTGACAGGGATGGGGTGGCAGGGATGGGGTACAGGGATGAGGTACAGGCTCAGGGAAACAGGGACACGGTTAGGGTGGAATACAGGAAATGGGATATAGGGATGGGGTGACAGGGACAGGGCGACAGGGATGGGGTGACAGGGAAACAGGGACAGGGTTAGGGTGGAATACAGGGAATGGGGTACAGGGACGGGGTGACAGGGACAGGGTGACAGGGATGGGGTACAGGGACAGGGGGACAGGGAAACAGGGACAGGGTTAGGGTGGAATACAGAGAATGCGGTTAACAGGGATAGGGTACAAGGGACAGGGTAACAGGGATAGGATACAAGGAATGGGATAACAAGGGACAGGGTGACAAGGATGGGGTAACAGGGACAGGGTACAAGGGACAGGGTCCAAGGGATAGGGGAACAGGGATAGAATAACAGGGACAGGGTACAAGGGATAGGGTACGAGGGATAGGGTACAAAGGATAGGGTAACAGGGACAGGACACAAGGCCCTCACTGAAGCACAAGGAGGGAGCAGGGCAGTGCCTCTGCTGCAGCACAGCCAAGGTGCTCCTGGTGAAACCCCACTCCTGTCACCATGTCCACCCCAAAGCAGCAACACCCCCCTCCCCTGGCTGCCACCTTCCCTGTGCTCCCCAGTCCCTCCCAGCCCTGGCACACACATGTCCATCACCCTACCAGCTCTGGAGCCAGGGCAGTCCCTGACCCACATCTCTGCACCCCTGCCCTCTCCCAGCTCCCGTCTGCAGGGCAGAGCAGGGATTGCTTCTGTGGGAGRATGGAGAGGATCCAGCAGCAGCTCCACTGAGGTGACAGCAAACACCCCGAGCACCACTGACCTGCCCAGTGCGAGCCTTCCCCTCATCCCAAAGAGCCCACAGGTTCCTGCCTCTTGTGCCCCTGCCAAAGCAGAACTGGGCTCCGCACCAGGACTGTTATCCGTGCACAGAGCGAGGAACGCCGAGAAATGCTCCGGTGCCGCGTGGAGCTGCGGGGAAATGGCAGCCCAGCACCTCAGTCACGGCTGTGGCAGAAGAGAAGCCATGAGTGAGAGAGGGCCCAGGGTGACTCAGGGCCACCTTCACAGCACCAGCTCAACACCCAACACCCTGCAGGCACAGCTCAGCCCTCRGGGGGAGTGTGAACTCACCCCACAGCAACCCCACCGCCCTTCCCGTGGGTGCTCAGCACACAGCAGGCAGGGAGTTGAAAATAAAGCACACCCGAGGTACTGCCATACCCTACAAACCACAAAACGCAGGCTTGGGGTGGCCTTTTCCTGCTGTGCCATGGACCACACAGGAACCCAACCCTCCTGTCCCAGKGCAGTGCTTATGGAAGCATTTTCCGTGGGAAAGGCCACCACAACAGAGCAGGAACACTGCAACCTTTCCTGCTGTGTCTTCCCCCGCTGTCCCCTCCGTGCCACCCACACTGASCACCGTGACAAGGCAGGGGACAGTTCTGGAGAACACAATCTGACTTTCAGGAGCCCTGAAAGCATCTCGAGAACACCAAGAAAAACAAGTGCTGAGATCAAGGGTTTGGATCAACTCTTTGCTTTTTATGGGAGTGTTGAGCAACCCTGCAGGAAAAAAATTTTGCCCCTGCATCCCATCCCCCCAGCTGAGCTGCCAGCAGCAGAGTGGAGAAACCAGGAGGTGATTGGGAAAACCACGAGGTGCAAGGGACAGGGAGCAGGTGAAAGGGACAGAGAACAGCCTGGGGTGACATTTCACAACACACCTGGGGTGAATCCTCCCTGTGGTTGTGGTCTGGCACGCTTTGGGGTCACCCTTTGGGGTCACGCTTAGGGATCACCTTTTGGGGTCAGCTTTGGGGTCACCCTTTGGGATCACCCTTTGGGAATACCCTTTAGGACACCCTTGTGGTCACCCTTTGGGGTCACCCTTGTCACAGGGCTGGGAACTGCCAAGCAGAGCAGCTTTTGGGATTGCCTCCTTCCCCCAGGAGACAGCGACACTTCCAACGGCAGCACAGACCCCAGGCAGGGAAGGGAGAYGGGGTTTGATGGGGCAGCAGGGACATTGTCACAGCTGTCCCACAGCAGCGCTGCAGGCAGCACACCCCAGTGCCCACCCRTGTGCCCAGCCCCTCTGTGACACAGCTGGACACTGCTCCCAGGACAGCAGCACAGGGACACCACAGCACCAGTGGCAATGGCTGAGCGTGACCCTTTGGACAAGGCAATGGCGAGGGCAGGGCAGGGGGGACATCAGGAGGAATTTCCCCATGGAAAGGGTGCTCAGGCCTTGGCAGGGGCTGCCCAGGGAGGTTTGGAGTGCCCATCCCTGGAGGTGTCCCAGGAAAGGCTGGAGGTGGCACTGAGTGCTCTGGGCTGGGGACAAGGTGGGGATGGGCCACAGGATGGACTCCATGGGCTGGGAGGGATTTTCCAATGGGAATTGTCCTGGGATCCTGGGATATTTTATGCAGGTGTTCTGAAATCAAGGAGTGAAGAAGATCAGAACCCCCTGCCAGGACACCTGCCACCCCCAGCAGGACAAACCCCAGAGCTGGGGGGCTCCACCGCGATGCCCTGGGCAGGCACCGCCCCAGGCAGAAAATGCCCCAAAATCCACTCCTCGTGGGGAGTAAACCCAGGCACACACAGAACCAGCTGAGATTTCCCCTCCAGCGRTGGCAAAGCCCAGCGGCATCTCCCGGGGATGCCCGTGGGCAGGACGAGAGCTGGCTGGGAGCCCTGAGCCTTCCCAGAGGGTATCCCGGGGAACAGCCCCCGGCTACCCCCGGCCAGGACAACGCCCCTTCCTGCCCCGATTGTTGTGGGGCTCAGCATCCCGGGCAGGAAACAGCAGAGGAAGAGCGAGCCCTGGGCCTTGGGGAGCTCTGAAKGCACTGCCCAGGTCTGGGGACAGCGCAGGCGGCTGCAGGGACAYGGCTGGGKTGGTGCCAGGACGGGCTCAGCACCGGGATCGATGCTGCTGGGGGGCTCAGGCCACTGCGGGGACAAGGACAAAAGCCTGAGGAGGTTAAAGGAAACAGGAGCTTGGGCTGGTGCTGCACCATAAGGAAAATCACTTAATTTGGTTTAGAGCAAAAGGGATTCCGAACAGAACTTTTCTCACGCCAAGGTCCTCAGACAAGCTCCCCAGAAAGGTCACAATCTCCTTTGAGCTCTACCTCAGCCCTCTGCCTCCTCCAGCTCATCCTCCAAAGGGGCAGATCAGGAGCTTTGGGAGATGCAKCTGCATTTCAGGACAGAAGCTGGAATGTAGCCGTGCTGGAGCAGCAGGGAAAGTGTTTGTTTTATTAGATTACAGAAGAAACTCTTGGGTTTCAACTCTTTGCTTGCAAGATTTTACTGCCTCCCCTCCAGCTCAGACAGGAGCCAAAGATAGAAACTCWGAGTGAGGGAGGGAGCAGCTGGAGGAAACCTTTGTAGAAAACGGGGCAGTACGGGCAGAAAGCTGCGATTTTCAAGAAAAGCTTCAGCCTYGGTGTGTTTATCAGCACAGAGAGAGCTGAGCACACAGCAGGGAGATGAGGCTGATAAGGTGCTCGCTCMAACCACACCAAGGCAGGGTGTCAGGGCACCCAGGAGGCACTGCTTTGACAAACATCCTCTGGGCTGCTGCAGAGGAGGCTGTGCCATCCTCACAGCCAGCACCACACGGGGCCGGGCTCCTGTCCCGCTGAGCCACGCTGCTGGGACACCCAGGACAAGGGGCAGGGCTGACCATGAGGGACATYCACTGCTTGGGCTGCACACCCTCACCCCAGCGAGTCCCCTGAGCCAGCAGGGGAAGGGGCAGCAGAGAAGGAACACAGAGAATCACTCCCGAAACCCAACCAAGCCCCAAATCCTGAGCAGGGACAAACTGAGCAACAGCAGCCCCTGGTGAGGCCACGGAGGGGAAGCACAAGGGGAATGCAGGGCTGTCACCAGTGCCATCTCTGCAGATCTACCTGCACCCTCCTCACTCACCCCAGCCACGCTGGCTCACTGAGAGCACTGTTCCTGCTGCCAGGGGTKGGCAGAGGCTCCAGGGCAAGGAACAGGACTGAAAACATTGTCCCAAGTCCTGATTTATTCAGGAGTSGATCACACAGTCCTTGTGGGATCTCTTGTCCATAAAGCGAGGAGCCAAATGCCTCAGAACAGGACAGATGGCAAATGTGACCCACAGCGAGGTCCCCACAGTGCTGCCACAGCAAAACCCAACCAACAGGCAAACAAAACCAGGAAAARCCCACATTACCCCCCTCTGTGATCTTCCTCTGTTTCWTGGGCTGTGGAGGAGGAAACGGAGGCCAGAATTGAAGCCTCTTCTTGCAGGACACAAAGAAATTAAAACAAAAAGCTCATTTAATGCTGCCTGCACCAACCCAGCTCCATCACCCTGAGACCAACCCACAGCAGAGCTGCACAGGAATGGGGACATCTCCATCCTGTTCTGCTCCAGGGGGGATACAAACACCTTGGAGATGGATTTCTGGGCAAGGCACATCCAGGCTGAGGTGGTGAACCAGTGACAGAAGTTGCAGGGAAGGGACAGCAAGGGACAGCAGGGCAGGGTCACCCAGCACAGGGCTGGAAAAGCAGGATGAGGGATGAACTAAAGCACCTGGGGCAATGCTGGGGGTGCCTCCTGCCCCCAGGACACCAGGAATGAAGCAGAGCAGAACAGCTYCAAGGAACAGAGCACATTCAGGGGCCAGAGCTGAGGATCCACCATCCAGGAGCACAGSAAGTTCTCCCTCCAGAAGGCCACTGGTGGCACACTGGGGACACAGACCCCCCAGACCAAGGTGGGTCTACAGAAGGCCAAAAGCACTCAAAGCTCCCTTGGGACTGGTTTGAACATGAAACATGGGAAGATTTGTTCTCCTGGACACCAAGGGTGTCTGGGGGGCTCAGCAGCCACACAGAGATGGAAACTGCAAAAGGAAGGAGCTG